TACTGGTGAGGCGCCCGCGGCTTGCGCGGTGCAATTCGCTCCCAAAATGGGAAAGCATTTTCAGTTTTAAACCAATAAGCAATTTGCCGACAAAATTTGAAGATTCTTAAGGCTTAAAACTTATAACTTTATAACAGCAACTGACAAAACAATATTTTTATGACAAGATTTTAACGCCTCGGTTTGCTTCGAGTAACTTTTATTGTTATACATACATATACATACACTTAATTATATGAAGAAATAAATAATTGAGTATTGAGTTTAATAGCCAAGCCAGCCATGGCATTGCTAGGTGATGCATTTTTTAAAGCAGAAGTTTTTTAGTTTTCCGCTCAAACGTGTCCAAATCACATAACTGCTGAATGTCTAATGCCTTATGAACCTTTGATTAGTTTAATTAGTTTTACAGCTGGTGGTACACGTACCGGAAGCGTATTAATTAACTTGCCAACATCCGTTCTGTTTGACACGTACTTTAGTGTAATAAAAAGTCTAGTTTCGGCTCTTTTTATGTTTCAAACTCCCCTCAATCCATTTATAATAAAACGTACGTTTTCCCGTAGCGATACGTTATTTAACCCTCAAAGTTAGTATCAACTTTGATTGAACAAAAGTAAATGGGTCGGCTCTCTAACTAGCTCAAGCTAATTGACGAAGTTAGTGAGCATAAAAACAACACATTGGCTGAACAACGGTGGTCGCGGTTGTATAGTCGACGGCACATCTAACTGTACATTTTTGTTACACAATATTATAGCACCTATTTCAATCTATACTATTACTATCGGCCGCCCGCGACTTTGTATGCGTGGATCCCGCTTAACCCCCTTAGGGGTGGAGTTTTGGAAAATCAGTCTTTGTGTGCACTTACGTTCTAAAAGGAAAATTTGAGCACTTGTAGTTTCTGAGATTTCGTGATGAGTGAGTGACTCAGTCAGTCAGTCAGTGACTTTGCTTGAGTGAGTTTACTTGAACGCGCTAATCTCAGGAACTACTGATCCGATTTGAAAAATTCGTTTTGTATTGGATAGTTCAATTATGGAGGTAGGCTTCAGGCTTTAATATCACCCTACAGCTAATAGGGGCGGAGCAGAAAAGAAAAATGTTTCAAAAATGGGAAATAGTATTTAATATTATGCTACAGTCTTTAGCTTGATATGCTGTTTTCTGTAGATGGAGTCTGTCGTAGTCACTGTATAGCTTGTTGTCTATACAAATTGAGCTAAGTAAAAGCTCTGCGTGCTATGTCTTTGGGAGTTTTGCCTTTATTAAAAGCCGTTATTGAAAACGGTTACTTAAGCTCAAGTAATAGGTTTCAAGATATTTCTCTCCGACTATACATTCCAAAAGCACTCAGAAATGTAATGTGTTGACAGCTTTTCTACACAATAATTTATGCATAAAGATTCCCCTGTATACAAACAACATGAGTGGTATACAGTCATATATTGATTTGATTCATCGCAGTAACTTGTCCCGCTCCTAAGTTTTTTCAATATTCGTAAGTGATGCAAGTTTGCAAAAAGTTTCTGAACTCGATGATCAGAGGCAAAAGTATTTATTTATTGAAAAACTTCATTTATTTTCTGCACGTAGCCTTCTAAAAGGCACACCAATAAAATAACTGAGCCGGCCACTGATCCGGGGCAATATTTGGGCTGGTTTTCAGAAGCTGACCGAATAATCGAGATAGCACAATATTAGCCTTTTTACAAAGCTCATTGGCCGCTTCTTATTGAAATCCGCTCAATCCGCCGGACTGCTTTGAATAAAAATATTTGTGTGCTAAAGAGATCTTGATCCGAGCGTAGGCGTCGGATAAGGCTATTTTAAGGACTCTACACACTAAAGATGGCGACAGCCCGGCGCCTTGGTGTCGGCAGCTTAATATCAAAAGAACGACTTGAACGACTGCTCATTTGCCCGCCAACACCCGAGAAATTCAACACTGACAATACACGTCACTTTTCTAAACGTGGTTGTCACAGTAACAGTCGCGTTGTGAGTATAATACCTCATCATTATCATCATCATCATCATCATCATCATCATCATCATCATCATCATCATCACACCAAGCCCGCTGACAGTTTATTTCAAAAGAATCATATCGACGACTTGAACTTTCTATTACTTTTGCAAACATGTCAAAAGTCGACGTCTTATGTCGGCGGGTTTGGTGTGTAGACTACCTACATCACGTTTACAGTAAGCACCCTTTAGTAAATTGCGGAGCCGTTTGAAGATTCTTGAATCCATTGATCGTTATAAGACCTCCGTTATGTTAAGTTGAGGTTAATGTTTATTGTTGCGTGGTATGCTATGCAAATTTTGGTTTACAGTTGCGGATGGCACGCAGACAGAATTTGGTTCTGTTTAATGTCTATCGTATACTTAATCTAAATATGTATTACTCAAAGGTGACTGACTGACTGACAGTGATCTATCAACGCACAGCCAAAACCACTGGACGGATCGGGCTGAAATTTGGCATGCAGGTAGAGGTTATGACGTCGGCATCCGGATTTTACGAAACTCCACTCCTAAGGGGGTAAAACGGGATCCACGCGTTCGAAGTCGCGGGCGGCCGTTAGTTAATTATAATGTAATTTCTGTTTTGCACACGGCAGCACTTAATATGGACTGAATAAATATTCCTTTCACGACTTTACTGTTTTTGGATTTTTTTATGCAGAATCTGTCTGAAGGTAAGAAAGAATCAATAATGTCAGACTTTGAAGATCTAGGCCTGCCATCTCTAGAAACTTCAAAGTAAGTTATTTGTTGACTCCTGTAACTTTTATCTCTACGAAATGGGCAAAACTCTGCCGAAAAGGAGTTTTCGTCTTAAAATATACCCACCTATTTTTGGTAGTTTTTGTCTTGAGCGCCGGCGAACTTTCAGATATTGGTATTACCTAATCCTGTCCTGTCTTTAAGAGTTGATTTTAGTTTTAAAACTCAACTTTTTTAGTGAGAAAGCTGATTAAAAGTATTATTATTTCTGTACTAAGTGCTGTATAGTGGTTGGATATACGTGATCGGGTAGGTATAGTTTCATTGATTTTTAAATGAAATCAAAGTTAAATTCTAAGGCTGAGTTGCACCACTTTTACCGTAACTTTGACGATGACCGGTGTTTTTTGTATGGAGTTTGACAGATTTTTGACGTTTGTCAAAGTTAAAGTAAGATGGTGCAACTCGGCCTAATTCTTTATTAGTACACCTTTTTCATGGCACTTATATACGTCCCAAAAATCTCTTGCCTTGCCACCTCTTCAGGACAGAATATTGCGTAGATATCTATTTGCTAACCTCGATCGTTAGGCTCAGAAATTGAGTTGTAGTACCTGATCATTACGTTAGCTCCGAGGGTAATATAGTTAACTTGGATTTAGGAAAATGTCGCGTAAAAGCTGTTTTAAGAACTTTATAGCAGTTTTTATAAGTTATATACTTTTATAGTAGTTTTTAGCAAATTTGTGCATGAATTCGTCGATATTAATAAGTATAAAACAAATCCTACTAACATACATTATTTAAAGCTATGTAGTACATACCTATATGTACATAAATATACTTACCCAAACTTTAAAACCTACTTAACGGTATGTCTGTTAACTCAATAACTCAATGAAGAATCTGGTAAATTAGTAAATACTTCAATATTTAAGCTATTTCTATTTCCCTACCTTCTTCTTCTTCTGCCTCGCCTTATCCCGTTACGAAGGGTCGGCTTTCCCAATCATGCGCTGCCATTTGATTCCATCTTGAACGTCTTGTATTACCCTTATAATACCTACCTTACCCCTAACTAAAGTTAATTTCATAAAATTATGTGAGGAAATATTAGGTAAAATGAATAGGCCTTTAAAGTGCGGATTTCAGATTACAAAGGAACTTAATTTAGTATTTATGGATAATAAAGCCTCTAAAATTGCAATTCTTTCAAAGATTAACTGCGCGAAATATTTTGGCAGATGAACTCTTAAAATTAAGGAGCAGAGTTGAAATTCGTTTGGCAAGAACTTTTAGGGTTTAACAGAGGAAAAAGTCATTTAACACCTGCCGGAATGTTTAATTTTCATGGTGAAAATCACACGTATTTACGTTGGTAGCTTGGGATTGTAAAATGCTATAAAGAACTGAAAAATGTTACGAAAATATAAATAATGAATACCTAACTACTTCTGTGCATAGTTGTGTAAATAATTAACGCATGCAAATAGATTAATAGAGTCGCGGGAGAAGATAATTTATTTTGAAGTTACTAGGGTAGTTACCATCAGTAAACATGGGCATGGGCATTGGTAGATAAAATTTAGAACGGTTACAAATAAAATGATAAGCTTAGCATAATCAATTCAAATTATATCCCAATACTGAAGATGCCAACTCTTCAAGACCAGAATGGATAAGATCGCTGAAATTGGGCTTAAACTTATTGTAACATATTTCTTGTAATTGTCAAGTGTGGCCTACAATAAAGTCGATTACTGTCAGATATCCTATCTTAAATCTGTACCGTCATCTGTTTTATATCTGCCTACTTGATCATATTGGTTCCTCCCCATTATTTCTTAAGTGAAAAGGCGATATCGTAATTCTCAACCTGTAGCGGGGTCTAGCCAGATTAAAATTGACAAACTAAGACAAAAAACATGCAATGCAATGTTTGAGACTAGAGGCGCAGTGTAAAAAATGTCCAAAGAATTAAAAGTTCCCGAAATAAGTTTGAATTAATAGGTAAACTTGAACGAATCATATTGTTAGATAAAAGTTCAAGTAGTTACTATAGTTACAGTTATTTATTTCAAGAATAACAAAACCATTAATCCAAGTATTAAAAAGGTCTACAAAGACACTTCCGTACCCCATGCTTAACTTTACGGTAACAAAAATTACTGAAGCATTTACAGGTTAAAAGCGAGCCAAATCCCTTAAAGCACTTCTTATTGTTTCAGATTAGGCGAGAATTCACGAGTTGGCATCTCATTAATACTAAATGAACGCCCTCATCTTCCAAGTGTCAAACCCACGGCGTAAAGTTATTGCGTTAAAAACATTACACACAGAAATGGGGTTGGGAACTGACTGCTGGGATTGAGTTGGACTCGTCATTATGGGAGCGCACAGTCGCGCGCAAAATGGATATCATGCATAACATCACGCTGGAGCGAGAGAAGTTCTACGCGTCGCAAAATTTCAAGAACCCGTCGAACTCTAATGACGTTGAGGTGAGTACAGTCGTGTTCGTTCGTTCGTTCGTTTCAGCCAAATGACGTCCACTGCTGGACAAAGGACAGTCGTGTACAGTGATTTATTATTGATAGCTTCGCATGAAATTCAGTTTGTAACGGAAAGATCAACTTACATGACACAGATGTCGCTATAATTTGGCCAATTAACTCAATATTGTTTATTTATAATACATAATTAGTTCTATTTCGTACATAAATTATATCAGCGACAAATTCAAGTAATCGTGAGGAATCGACATCACATATTACCTTCATTATTAACGGCAGCCACGAAAACCATCAGTAGTGATTAAAGTAACATATATTTCAAATTACGGTTTATTTATATATGGCACACTTATGGATAGAGTTCAATGACTGTTCCCTTATTCTGTAAAGGTATTGCTGACGCGTTTTCCTTGCGAGTCTTCAACCGCGAAGTAAAGGGAGACTATGCAATCTTAATCTTACGGTGTTAAGTGATATGCAGTCTGGGATGACTAGGTTTTTACGACTTTTAACAGTCTCAACCATGTAGTTTATAGATCAAGATTGAAAAGTGTTATTCCTACCTATACGGAGATAAACTAGATGACAATTTATGCAGTTGTACTAATTGCTATTTTGCAGCAACAAAATTAGTCACACTATTATTATGTACTCAGAATAGTGAAAACATCAAAATATAAGCAACATCGAGAAGTGAATACTTAACAGAAATGAATAAAAACGCGCGGATTTGATTTCCGGGAAAAGGGTACTGATATTGAATTCAGGGTAGTGATTTGGGTTCACCATTATCGTTTTTGTTAACATGTCCCTAAAACTCCTTATTTTTTATAAAAACTGTACAAATACATGTACTTAATAATAAAAGGATAGATAACATGATTTATGTCAGACTTTATTGAGGAACACCATAACCTATATAGAAATATAGGCTTCCATCGTTATTATTTTATGGTAATTTCATACATAAACATTATTTAATCTAGTCAGTTCTACGTAGAAAAAAAGCGATTACCTATAATAAAACCGAACTATATCATCTGAATATTTAAATATACTTTTGCTGGCACGCTGTGTTATTACAACTGAAACTTGGATTATAATATTAAAGGAATGGCATCAGTAAAGGACTTATTTTATTATACCTACGAGAAGTTATGCCTCGCATCACGCACCCTGTATTTACCTACAGTGGCATCAAAGACTGTAATATTATTGTTAGCTTTTATGGCTTTTGTAAATTATACGGTGGAATAAGTCTCATTTTAAATGCAATATAAGCCTCATTCTGGATTTGAAAGCTTTTTATTGCTAATGCGAGTATTACGGCGTAGAAAATTATCCTTTCGCAAGTCTTTTATTATTTTTCTATGACATATTCTTACGAAAATATAATTATAATAATGACTGCTGAATTTAAAAAAAAGTAGCTATGATTAAAGTTCTTTGGTTATAAATTTTTGCATCACCTGACATTTTGTGTTGTTAGTTAGTTATATTTTTCAAAAGTTTTATTGTGAGAATTATCGCAGTTTTCCCAATATGGTCCATTACGATATTATTATTAAGCTGAAACGCGGCCCCGTTACGAGAAAATGTAATGTTCTACTGTAAATTTTATACAGTTTTCCTGTGAATTTTTTACTGTTCCGCTTAAAGGATCACTAAGTAATAGTACCGCTTATGAGATAGAAGAACTTTTTCTTGAACCACCACTTTCAGATATTAGAGACAGAGTAAAAATGTAAAAGCCAGAAAATACTTATTTAATTTGACAGAAACAAGGATGGTTTGAATTTTTGCCAAAATATGAGACAGTTTCAGATTTTTTAAATATTTACGATCTCGTAAAGGTCGCTGAAGCAACTGGATGCGGGTTGTAAAAATCCTTGGGAGTTTCTGAAACGAATAAACGATGTGATGTAAAATTTGGCGAAGACAAAAAATAAATGTTCTTTTTCACAATAAATAATGTGAAAACTAACTTTTTTTTTACAATAAACTGCGGTATTAACTATAAGACCGAGTAGAACTTCAGTAGAGTAAAGTAAAAATAAACATCACTGAATAATATTTAACACCATTGTTTGTGGGTCAAGTTGCAGAGTAAGCAATTCCTACAAAATGGTCTGACCTTTCATACTCGGCTATCAGCAAAGGTCGTGTCAATGCCCTTATTTGTTTTGGACTGTTGGGTCCTGTGATGGATCCAGTACTTAATGGTAATACTTTCGTCGTCTCATGAGTTATGTGCACGTGACGGGAATCGAATTCCGTTTGATGACATGTTTTTCTTTTAGGTTATTGATGTAAGCACATATTGTTTGTTTTGTTGTTTTGTGCCCTAAAATAGCTTGGCTGTACCAGAAAAAGAAATACATTTGTATCATCAAGACAGATGTTGAACAAATTGACAACAATAACGACACTTGTTTTCAAAGATTACTTGAAACTTACTATTTTTATTCTTGGATTAGATAAGTTACATTGAGTAAGTTGTACACGCTTGTAATTGTACATGCGAACAGCTAGGGACTGGTATTCGCTGCTTGCTGCTGTATTTCCCGAACACTTTAATCCGGGCCTTTCAAAACGAGAGTTAACACCTTTGCTGCGGCAGTAACTTTCTAATACTTTCCATTCCTTCCGTACAAGGTCAGTAAACCTGGTATTAAAACTTACATTGTGGCGGCACAAGGCTTAAAGACCTTGTAATATTTAAGATATATTAATTTTATTTTTGGCTTCATGTTAATAGATATTGACATACACCTGAAGGCGTTCGTGAATAACTTGTTTAGTATAAAAATTATAGCTATATTCAAAATACAAGGCTTATGCACCCTGTGCCGCACTGAATTAGGGAAGTCTGGTGGGTATTCTAGGGATGTGAAATACAAATATCGATAGTTTAAATTAAGTTTTAATAAAAATTTAAAAAAGTAACAAACAAAGATGTTTTAATAATTTAGTCTAAATATTTTACAAATAAGACATACGTGCATAAATACTTAAATAAGCTATATTTAAAGAAAACATATTATTTAATAACATTTAGTTACAACTTCAAATGTTTGTCACGAAAAACATTATTTAAATTAGCAATAAATCGTGTAGCAAATTAAATTATAATCAATTTGCAGTTTTGATTTTGTTTGTTTCTCTTGACGCCATGTCGACATGTGCGTTTCTTACGAATGCGAGGCAACACTGGCTGCACGAAGCTAGCGTGGGGTGCGGTACCAGGTGCGCAGGGTACAAGGTGCTTCGACCTGGTTTCGCATTGTGAAGACATTTTATTACTTCCGTGCGGTACCAGGTCTAAAAACCTGGTATTAAGGTAGGTACATCATTGGATTCTATTTTAAGAATACATCATAGATATATATTCATCACTTTCCTACACCGGACCCAATTGAAGTTATGCCTTTCGCACGACAAGGAAGACTATAATTTTCTTAGCCGCACGGTAAGCGAGACGTACACAAGGTCTATAGACCTGGTTTCGCACTCAACGTGTTAATAGGCACTTTCAGGGCAGATTGTAAACCATCCTAGACTGCATTTTACTTAAAACCAAGCGAGATTGCGGTTAAATACCTGCCTTGTTATGTATAAAATAAACCACACTTAATAATAAGTGTCGCAGCAACGCAAAACGGAATCAGCTCAGTAATTGGTTTACTTAAAAAAGCAAACCACCGATTTTCAGCTATAGCCCATAGATACATAAAAACAAGTTTTTCAAAGGTAGGCAAGCTTTCAAGAAGAGATCGTATCTTCACCTTAAAGGCCGGCAACGCACCTGTAACGCCCCTGGGACTGCGGGTGTCTATGGGCGACGGTAATCACTTACCATCAGGTGATCCTTATGCTCGTTTGCCTCCTGTCACATATAAAAAAAAAGGTTAAGTCAACTGACCTTTAAAAAGAGGATAATCGCAAGATCGTCGCTAACGACGTACTAATGACTAAAAGTGCCCTCAGCGTAAGCTGCAATAGCTTACATAATAAGCTGTTACCGGCCTTGTTATGCCACAGATTGCCTGTGGGACCCTAAAGGTTTGTTAAGCAACTTCTGTCATGTAGTATCCGACCTGGATAATTAACTTTGTTATGAAACTAGCTACCAAGCTGAATTGTACCATTCCAACTTGTTAAGTTTCGCAATTCGCAATTTTTAGTTTTGTGTGCTTTGCAATTACGTTTACCCCAATAAATGAAAAGGACTCTACATCCGTATTCATTTTTTATGCATAACAAGGCAGGTATTTGACTGCAATCGCACCTGGCATTAAATGAGATGCAGTCTAGGATGGTACATAAATCTACATCTTATTTATTACATTAACTTACTCTCTTTTAGGCCCGATTCGACCAAACTTTTATCCGAGAATAGCTCATGGTATACTTGCACATTGACAGTTTTAGGTTGAGTTGCACTACCTAACTTTAACGGAAACTATGACGATAACCGGTGCTTTTTGTATGTAGTTTGACAGATTTTTGACGTTTGTCAAAGTTAAAGTAAGATGGTGCAACCCAGCCTTAGTATGGGAAATATGTCAAAATGTCGAATAACTGACGATTTATTCTGAGATTAATATTTACTCTTGTTTGGTCGAATCCACCCTTAGTAGTTTGGATAAAAAACTATGAAGCATTTCAAATGTAAAAATATAGATGACTAGGGAGCTATAAAACAGGTTTATATCTGTAAAAATATTCCACAATCTGACCCATGAGATTACCCCGTACGAAAACACGAACTTTTTGCCTCTTCTCAAAATAGAAACATCCCAATAAAGTTGTTAAGAACCCTACACATTATTGGGATGTGGGTTGTGCAATAAAATTGACAAGTCCTAACGTAATGACGTCACGAAATCCAAAGTAAATTGACTAGAATTTGTTAGAGTCCATCAGTGTCGCGAAAATAAACTCCGGTGAAGTTTGTAAGATGTAAATGGAATATTACGCAGTTAGTTGTTTTTCAGAAGACAGGTGTTTTGTACGACGTAAATGAATTACCTACTTGCTTTTAGGATTCACATGTTTATCTCTTGTTGAGGAGTTAACCTGAGTAAGTGATATTAATATGACCAGTTCAATCATAACTCATGTGATCATAGTGACTTACTTAAACGACGATAGGTCCTCAATTCGTTGAATTGTAAAAATTGTAATATAATATTTTTTGTAAGCATTTACTCCCATATGATAAAAACTTACACCTAGAATGAATACTAGATTAAAATGACATTTCCATACTAAATGAAAATTTAAGCCAGAGTTCAGTTTCAGACTGTCTCTCTCAACAGTTTATTACACTACAGATAAAAGAAAAATTCAAGTCTCATTTCCACGAGGAAATTGATACGGAGCTGAAAAATGGCTGAAGTGGCAATCGGCAGGCTAACGGCCTAGAGTAGTCGCCCTTAGAAGTGGTGACTGCTAATTGGCTAGACTTTGCTGAAGGGTCACCAAGAGTTCAGACTTGGGGAAGGCTTTATGCATAGTAATGTTGGCGTATAAAATTGATGAAAATTTTCTCTCGTATATTTAATCAGTCTATTGGGATACGATCTCTTCACAATTCACTTGCCTACATAATTTTCTCTGCTACATGTGAGAAACTGACATTTTTTGTAGGTCTATATTTTTTGAGGTTCATAATAAGACTTCTGAATTTTGGAGTTAATTGAAGTTCCTTATTCTGCTACAGACTAATTACCTTTGTACTGTGGTAAACCAAACCCAATGTATAATTTTAAATCGACCAATTTGTTCTAGCATATAAAGTGTATTCTAGAACAATTTGGTCGATTATGATTCAGAAACTAGAAACTTTCAATAGTAGCATAAAGAAATGTATAGAATTTATTGATTGCAAGTCGATTCTAAAGTTCAATACCCGAAGCTCGCATTTGTACCTCCGCCTGCAATCTATTGAAGTAGTTGTTTTATTCTGTTTGGTGTTGGGATTTATTTGCAAACGACTGCTTGATTTCCCAGATCAAAGCCTACCTAACCTATTAGAGTCTACTGAATGCGTCAGTTTACTCGTACAAAGGTGTCGTTGAGTTTGCTAAAGATAAATTCCTTTTGACCTTTGAATTCCTGCCAAAATTACGGGTTGATTAAGGATTTGAACCGGGAATATACCCATTAGATACTGTTTATCAGGAAATGTTGGGAAAGGTCCCTTTTACGTACAAGCATTTGGTAGTAAAATCGCGCCTATTACAACTAGGTACCTATATAGATGCTAGACGTGCCACAGGTCTGAACATGAATTATTTCATACGACTGGAAGAATGGTTGTTATAGACCCATATTAAAAAGAGGGCTGCCAAATGACCTTTAGTGTCAGAGAATGTTTAAATGAGAAAGAAAAGATAAATTATTTGTCTTTCATTTTTATAAGCTCGAGAAACCTTAAGACTAATTTACAAAGGGGCGGCATAAACCCAGTGTTTATTATCACAGCAGTTAGAAATAAGCACCTAATCTGCTAACAACACAATTTTCTTACAAATAATTTTTTTTTGTATTACAAATAACATCTCAGCAGTCTTTTGAGATTTTTTGTTTGTTTTTTAAGGTGAAAGTTTGGTTCTAATTTGAATTTTGCTGCAAACTAATTTGAGGGAATGTATGTACGAGTAAATTATTTAAAATTGGTCACTAAGTTCCTTTTAAGTGGACTTTAGGTACCTACTCGTTATTAGTAGTTAAGGTAAGAAAACTTTATAGCAAACATAATAAGAACTCCCCCAATAAAGTTTCTCTTAACTTTTAAAGACCAGGTTTTAGGTTTTAATTTATAGAACACGAATAAGAAGAGCTCAAGTATTTGTATGGATTTAGTGGCGGCTTCATTGAATGGTAGACATTAAATACTCCGTGATAATAATTAAAGTTACAATGTAATTTATAACAGTGGTCTCAATCAATAAGGTTCTTCCCTATGAAGTGTGCATTCATCACCTAATAATCTTACATTATACTCGTAATCTCATTTTAAACATTTCTACGAAAGAAAAAAAGGTAGGTACATACATTACTCGCTTATCGGATTACTAAACTAGAATTTAGACTATAGAAACACAGATAAAGGCTAGAGCTATTTTATGTATTGAATGTTTAAGGCGAGAGTGATAGCAGAGTAAATACAAATGAGTAGGTCATCTTCATAGAAACGTACCGAGCGCGGTTTGTACAATTCGGCGCAACACTAATCACTAATCACTTCAGCGCTAATCCACGCTAAATTTTGTCAATGAGTGCGTGCGCGCCGCATACGTATTGGCGCTCTCACATACAAACCGCGCTCGGTGCGTTTCTATGAAGATCACCTACTTATTTGTATTTACTCTGGTGATAGGCATTTATGTACAGTCAGCGTCAAATAGTTCTTGACACCAAAAGTGGTCAAAAAATTGTGTACACAAACATATTCCAATATTATAACAACGACGTGTTGCGAACTTTTTGGCTACTTTCCGTGTCACGAACTATTTGACGTTGCCTGTAGCACCCTAGACTGCATCTCACTTAACATTAGTGTGCTTACCATGAGTTTACGTTAGGTGTGTTCGCTAGCGAGTACTACGTCTAAAAAATTCTATGAAGATTCTATTTATTGAAAGTAGCCGCCCAGAGGCGCTGCACAATATGTCATACATTTAAATGTCATTTTACGCAGTCGCTAGCGAGCACACGTAACGTAAACTCATGGTAAGCACACAGGTGCGAATGAAAAACAGAAATTACGAAAAGTGCACCTACTTTTGTTACTTTTATTGTGTCATAAAGGTTATTTTGTGACCTAGTGTAATTAATTTCGGCAGTGGCAGTAACATTTAACTTAATTGCGACGTAAAGGGAATAGTAACAATCCCAAGCTATTAACGTCTAGTTTATTTCATCTCACACATAAATCAAAGTTATTTAACCATGTTTTATTTATAGGCTCAATTGCTGTACTTACTTCTATAATTTATAACGTGATTGTTTTGCAGAAGTAGAAGTAATTGATGTTATCAACAAACAAAATACTTTTCTCAGGACAGATATTTCATAGCATGTAGTAATAGGCCTGCTTATTAAATCATATTCTTTCCGTTTATTACGTCTATTTTTAATTATAGTGTCACTAATAATTGCTTATTGTTCCTAACAACGACTAGGAAGGGTTTACCTAACAGTTCACGAAACCAACACATTAGTAAAACAATGTTAGTCACTAATAAGTATTATGTTTTGTATAAAAGCTGGAATATTTACCTAGTATAGTACGTACATGGAAAATTAACACGTATACAAATATTATACCTAATTGTGATAACAGATATCGTTGAATTCATTTTGTACACGTGCTACGATGTTTACGCTACGAGTTTGCTACGAAGAAATAAATACACAATTTCAATTTTCCATGTTAACTGACATGCTTTTAGAGCTTTTCTGTGTCAACAAATATTTTATGAAATGAAGGAAATTCCAAGTAGGTATAACAATTTCCTTAGGTTTAATTCAGAAGTTACATTCTCTTACCCTCCACAAAAAGACAAACATTTCTGAATCTGTTAGTGCTTTATGTTTTGTTATCTATTTAGTAACAATATTAAAACTCATCAAATCCTATATTTATAGTTATTAAATTTTTAGCGTTTAGAGTCGCATCTCAAACTTCCCGCCTTAGGCAGTTCGATTTTTTCAAGTTATTTATAATTTCCTATATTTATTTTTGAAAGTAGGCTTTAAGAATCACTTTTACACGTCCCAGTATTAACCCTACCACTGCTTCGGGAAAATAAATGGGCCAGTGCTGAGGAAAAAGCACCGCAAGAAACTCAGTCAGTATTGTCAGCCTCCTTTTCAAGGGTTTACAGTCTTTAAATTATACAAATGTTATAAATATTGATGCGATATTTATCGTGTTTCCTCTCCAGGTGGTGTACACATGGAAGATGGACTTCAACCGCAGTCTCCTCAGCGCTGCCACGCTTCTCGTGCCAAAGAGTCCCACTTCTGCGCCCGCGTCGATGACCATGCCGCTTTGGGCGCACAACTCCTGGGTGTGCCTTTTTGCTGCCATGTTGGCTGTTGCTATTGGCGGGAACGCGATCGTCATTTGGATTGTCACAGGTGTGTATACCTCCTTGTCAGGCGATTGAAGGACATAGGCACTTTTGTCACAAAAAGAAAAGACCTTTTTGCCCGTAACTTAGCGTTTCTTCTAAAGATAACTAAGTGTATTTTTTAGTCGTTAGGTGAGACAGGAGTTAAGAGTGTTGCTTAAACTTTCAGTAGTGGCGAGTATGCAGAATCTTGTTCTGGCTCACTTAACAATATGTCCTCACAACTTCAGCTTTTCTTTAGGATACCATAGCTTTGATACTTTTCTTTATAAAATACAAAACCCCGGTTTTTAGCTTTAGCGTGCTTATTTTCTACGTAAGACCGTAACGTGAACTACATATTAATATTATGTTTAGTATCCTAATAAATCTCATATAACTTATTCACACTCAAGCTTAAAATCTCAATTCAGAAATAGAGGGAAAAGAACAAAAATTGTTTATCGTAATCAGTAGGCAACTAAGTCCTTAATAGTCAGTTTACCACGCTTTTTCTCTTGATCCATAATTTATCTGAAATAAAAGTTACGGGATTTATTCAGCGTTATAAAACAGGTACTGGGTCGGCCATGAATTAAATAAAATGAATTACTAACGTATCGGATGAGGACCAGACTGGATTAACCCTGACTGAACCGCCACTCTTACTTCAATTATTTAGTGGGTTTTTGCGTCAATCCAAATCGATTTCTTTATCCAAACACGAAACGAAAGGGTATAGTTGGTATTAAACGAAAGATCGTAACAACGTTTGTCACTGTCCTATAGGCTCATGATCTAGAAATCAAACCTAGGATCAAGAACGTATTCTTTTTATGTCACCGCACGTGCTCACTCACAATGTATCTCCAAATAAAAATAACTCATTCCTCGAAAACTAGGCCACAGCAATCAAATTATCGACCCTGCAGTGCTAGGTTGGTGTGTTATTATGTCAGTCACATGATTTATTTACCTTTATTCCCAGTATTTCGTTAAAGGAAATGCCATCGGAATATTAACTACTCGTGCTACAGTTACAGTGACTTTTATAGTCTATATTGGTTGAGTAATTCATAAATTATACCGAAAATTGGAACCAGAGAATGGATTAGCAGACTAAAATGGATACGCATTTTTTTGAAAAAATACCTAGGTATTAGGGTGGTCCTTATTTTTCGACTTTTGAATTATCCCCGGGGCACTTTCTCATTCGATTATATACCTCTAAATATGAAATTAGCTTTTTTTGTTTTTTTTTTTGGTTAAGATTTAGAGGTCGCTACCAGCTGTCAAAATATTTACAAAAGCTTTGAAGATCTTAAATCATGGTTTCATAAATGTTTTATTTAAGTGTTTATATCACATTTTACGTGCAAATAAACATCGCATAGATAGAATAGACAATCGCTTCTTGTCCCCTTCTCCCCTCAACCCCTATTCTATACCGAGTTACCGACCATGGTACCGACGCGTCGAGATACTAACAAGTAAACTCTTATATCTTAAAAAATAATTGATTCAAATATGTACATTGTACATAATATCTTAGTTCATAGCAACAACAATAATTTTGTAATATTTTAATTTGGCTTTGGCTTTAAAAATAAACGAATCTAACAAATACAGATTTTGTTTTTACTTAAAATTCAAACCTTGGTAGCGACCCCTAAATGTCTTTTAAAAATTAAAAAAAAAATAATGAAAGACTTTCATATGGTATATATTCAAATTACGTGGTGCCCCGCAAAATATAAGAAAAAAATTTTTTTTTCGTAGGAATAAGGACCACCCTACTAGGTATGCTATAAATTATTAAAATGTGACACCAGCGGAATACTAACCGGGATGCTAGATAATTTTGGAAGTTTGGGATGATTTAATACATTCAAAATGTTGTTATAAAAACAATATAATGTTATTGGCAACTAGCGGCCGCCCGCGACTTCATACGCGTGGATCCCGTTTTACCCCCTTCATGTTCTTATCTTACACGGTTAAGATTTTTTCATACAAATGTTTTTTCCCGCTAACTCCCGTTCCCGTGGGAATTTTGCAATATCTTGTTGTAACTAAGCTTTAAGTTTACTAAGGTACCTGCATGCCAAATTTCAAGCGTCTAACTTAAGCAGTTTAGATTTTTCATACAAAAATGTGGGAATTCCTAAGTATCCTATAACCTGCCTAGGAGTATGAAGAATAATTGTACCAAGTTTCGTTAAAATCCGTCGAGTAGTTTTTGTTTCTATAAGGAACATACAGACAGACAGACAGACAGACAAAAATTTTACTGATTGCATTTTTGGCATCAGTATCGATTACTAATCACCTCCTGATAGTTATTTTGAAAATATATTTCATGTACAGAATTGACCTCTCTACAGATTTATTATAAGTATAGATTATAAATTGAAGGATATATTTTCATTTAGAATTAAATATCCATTCATTCATGGAAAAAAATAGCTGATAATAATTTCATAAGTTTAAATAATAATCTTAAATCTAAAATGGAAGTATCATGCATTTTATATCAAACAAAAAGCTTAGCACAAGAAATCATCCGTGCGTCGATTAAACTGCTTAGGTTGTATGGTTTTGGAATATTAAGAGAAAGAGAAAATTCCATTTCTTGACTGCATGTACTAAGTGGGAATAAAAAAGTTAGCTGTAAGTGGTTCCAACAATTTGCATTTAACTTTGTTTTCTAGTTTTATTTTCAGTTTAACTTTTAACCCAATGAAGCATTATAAGAAAATGCAGCAGTACACTTGCAATATTAGAGCTAAAACTATAAAAATATTTTACTTAAGTGAAAATATTTTATCATAATTAATTTGGGTTAAATAGAGAAAATAAAGCAGCATATGCGCAAATTTCCAATGCAGCTCTAAATGTCTAAACTCTATAATGCAGTCTCATACAACTCTATTCATACTAAAATGAATTGTAGGAATTCGTTGCATTTTCTCTCTTCACGCCTGCACCTGAAAACATTTCACCGCGAATGTAGATTCGTATTTGCCGTTTTCTCTTTATGAAGCACTTCTGTCTCAATTTGGAGAGGACTCTTTGGAAAATCATTTTGAATCATATTGTTATTTCGGCTGAATTTAATTAAATGATGTATTTAAGCCCCTCACAACAACAAAAGAGAGGTGTTATTAAATTTTGGATTAGGCCATTAATTGAAGCGAAGTTATTAAATTAAATCTGTAAAATTATTAATTTTATAGAACGTATTCATTTTATAGTACACTAGCGGCCGCCCGCGACTTCGTACGCGTGGATCCTGTTTTACCCCCTTTTCCCGAATTTTCTTTGCTATAAACCTCACGGAGCCCGAGACCTTTCCAACGAATGCAAAACCGTGGAAATCGGTTGGTGCGTTCTGGAGTTATAGCGTCAGGGAGGAAAACCCGACTTATTTTTATATAGTAGATAAATTATTATTACAATTATTAATTAAGAAACGAAATACACACATACATTTCCCTCTATGTGCGTGACGTACTCGTATTTGATGTGGAGGAAATGATTGCCAAAATAAAGGGTAATAATTCACACAACAATATTATTTTCTTACCTACATGTAATTTTCGATTTTGCGGTGAACTGAACTGTGATCATTTTCAATTGACTGGAGATGTTATTGCGCGTTGGCCCTGAAGGTTGCATACCTATGGATAAATGTTATGGTATTTTGTTAATACTTGCACATGAATAAGCAATTTTAATTCGTGTTTATTTGGTCTAAATTGTATTTGTGAGTAACTTAATTTTACTGAATGATATAATTTGATCGATGTAGATACTTATTTCGATTGAAAATTGATCACAATAGTGATTTAATGCCCGTTTTCACCATCAATCCGTAATTTTTAAGTGACCCCTATGAAAACAAAATTCCTGTTATTTGTTACTATAGGGATCACTTAAAAATTAGGGATTGATGGTGAAAACAGGCATAAGTCTAAGAAAAGTTTTTGCTTTAGACTTTAGATATTATTGAGTAGGTATAAACGTCTATTTGGATAATATTATAATTATGTAAGACTTTTCATACTCACCTTTGCTCCCACTGGCATTCGAACTACCGATTGTTACTGCAGCTGGCATGTAGCCGATCCACAAGACCTTTGCAAGCATTTGTTTAGATCAAATGTATTTCAGTTTAGTTCAGTTGTTCAAAATTTTAAACAAGGTCACCTGGGTTCATTATTCGATGTTTTTAAACGAGAAAATTGTTTGCATTGTTGTTTCCCATGAATTCGAAAATAATTCCCTATTACACTAAATTGGCAAAAATAATGATGGATATGCGGAAAGGGTTATTAATCACCGGGGAAGCCGGTTCGTGGCACCAGATAATGAAGCTGAGGATATATTACATAATCAATCAAGTAATATAACAGCTTACATGAATATTAAGGTTATTATGAACATAAACAAGTGGTGAGAAATAAAAAAAACGGCCAAGTGCGAGTCGGGCTCGCACACCGAGGGTTCCGCCGTACAAACGTAGCGGTTTACAATTTATGACGTATTAAATCAAATTACTTACTTGATTCCGTTGCGAGTAGTGGCGAATTTCAAAATATGCGGTATGATTATTTTTTATTTATTTATTTTTCCTATATTTGCATTATAGGTAGGTACCTACCTCAGCGTTTTGAATTTTTGCGTTGATTTAGAATTTCTCACAGTTTAGAGGCAATTAGATTTAAGAAGTGTTTGATATGAATTTCAACTTTAATATCTCTACGCGTTCATGTGAAAAAGGGTAGGTAGTAAGTTTATAATTATTAAAAAAATATTTTATGTCATGTAAGCAAAAATAATATTTTAAATTTTATATAACTTCAAGTTTATCATTTTCGCAATTTTTCCTTTATCTGTACTATATAACGTTGCTTCGTGCCGAATTTCAAGATTCTGAGTTCACAGGAAGTACCTTGTAGGTTTTGATTCCCTAGCGTGTGACGGAAATTCGTCTAAGGTGTCGGTATAAACTGCTGTATCTTTTGA